CCCGGGTCTTTGGATCATCAACAGCCACAGCTCATTTGGCCAGAGTCCTCCACGACTCTCCCTCCTACTTCGTTGATTTCGTGCATGGACATGAGATAACCACGATCAACCTACCTCTCGATTTTCTTGAGTTGACTCCTGGTCGTTCCTTGCGACGGAGTCATCCTTCTCACGACATCGCGTTTATCGCAAAGCGCCCACGATCAGTATCCCACTTTGGAAAATGACGTTGGTCGCCGACCAGTCCTATAGCATGTTCCCTCGGCCCAATTCCGAGACAGACTTCATGCTTTACCCCGAGCCTCCAACGCAGACAGGCTATCCGTCACCGTCGATGGAGATGGGAATGAGCCCTGGCAGCTTTGGTCTCCACCAAGGAGTGCGCGACGAGTTTCCTCAGGCCATAGGTTTCTACCCAGACAGCAGCTTCATGTACCAGGGCCGGACGTCGCCGAGGATGTATCCAGATGATGGTGAGCTGCGGATTCCGCCATCGAATCTCTCCACTACATCAGCGCCGTCTGCCCCTTCGTCGACCGTCGGGTCGCCAAATTCGAACCACGGCCAGTTGGCCTACATCCCCGAGTATCAGCAGTCTGGCTTTGGCGCCAATCCAGGCATCGTTGGCTCAAGTGAATATTTCACAGGAACCGAGTACTCGGCTTTCTCTGGTCCAGGTATGGATGAATTCACCATGACCTTTGACAACAAGCCCGGTTTTGTCGGTGAGTTGGCGCCCCTCTTCACACACCCAGCCTTTCTTTCTTGCCTATCTTGACGAGATCTCGTTTGTGACTCGTCGCGGTTTTTGTTGCGTCTTATGCGCCAGACGAAGCCTGTTAGACATTTGGAGAACATGAACATTGCCTGGACTCACCCCTCGGTCTTGGGTTCTTGGACAGAGCGCTAACTCCGCATTTTATCCAGATCCGTCGCTGATTCACCCCGAAATCCGAGGCCCCATGGCACCACCTATGCCAGGGTACGAAAATGCCAACAACTTCTCACCCCAAAATCCCTATCCCAATTCGCCTGCTCTCTCCGGCGCGCCATCTCCAACCCCCGCGATGCGTAATGGTAGCCAGTCTCCATACATGCACAGCTACCACCAGCAGTTCGGTCCATTCGGTGTCCCTCCGCCTGCCGGTCGCCGACAGAGCCTGTCTTCCTACCAGTCCCACGGTTCACACGAATACTCCTACAACAGCGACGAGTCGGAGAAGAAGCAGAGATGTCCCCATTCCGATTGCGGCAAGACCTTCAAGGATCTGAAGGCACACATGCTCACGCACCAAATCGAGAGGCCTGAGAAGTGTCCTATCCAGACTTGTGACTACCACATTAAAGGATTTGCCCGCAAATACGATAAGAACCGACACACACTGACCCATTATAAGGGGACGATGGTGTGTGGTTTTTGCCCGGGATCAGGTTCAGCGGCTGAAAAGTCGTTCAACCGAGCCGATGTCTTCAAGCGACATTTGACCGCTGTGCACGGGGTGGAACAAACACCACCCAACAGTCGCAAGAAGGCTGCTGCTGCCAACAGCGGCAAGAAGCTTACTGGTTACGCCCCTGATGCTACTGGCAAATGCTCCACATGTTCTGTCACATTTTCCAACGCTCAAGACTTCTACGAACATTTGGACGACTGTGTCCTCCGCATTGTCCAGCAGGAGGATCCGGCGGAGGCGATCAATGCCAAACGGCTTGCGGAAGTTGAAAACGACAAGGAAGTCGTCCACACTCTGGAGAAGAACCTGTTGCCTCTTACTACCCAGACTGCGACAAATGAGGATGAAGAGGAGGACGAAGACATGGTAGATGAAGAGGAGAATCTGGATGACGAGCTTAAGACAAAGAAGTTGAGCTCGCCAACAAAGCGGAGGTCCAACCCGCCCAACGGCGTCCAGAAGTCGCGTGGCATGACGCACTCGCGCGGTGGTGTTCCCTTGACCACGAAAAGTAAGGGACGCAAAAGCCGACGAGACTACCCCTCGTCATGGGGCTTCGACAAGGGCCAGATGACGATGAAGAAGCGTGTCATGACCGTGTTCGACGGCCAACGCCGTTTAGCAAAGGACGACATGATGCTCTCCACGGAACATGAAGTTCGTGTCAAGCTGTCTGATGACAAATCTTGGGTCACAGATCTTGACGTGCAAACGATGAAGCGAGCCGAGGGCTTTCTCAATGCCACAGAGGAAGAGAAAGGTTACTGGATTTCGGACGATCCGACCGAAGAGGATATCAAGAGAATGTTGGAAATGAGCCAACAGTAATTAGTACATGTGCCATCTAATTTCTCGCATTCCGACATACACACATCATCAAACAATCACGACCGCTACGAAACGCTTGCTTACAAATTTGGCATGGCTGGCGCATCAGGATTCTGGGCTCGGCTCCATGTACAGTTGGACACATAATGGTACAGGAAACAACGGATTGGTCTTTTTAATCGGACGGGCCCCTTTTCTTTGAGAGTGCAAGAACGGGCGGAGGAGTGCAGTCCTGACGATGGCCTCTTCTAATTGGCATATATATGGTTGGGACTCTAAAGAGGATGGAATTCATGTAGTGCTGCTATGTTATAGCCAGTTTGCTTTACTCATTGATACCCTGTAGTTCTAGCCTCACTTTGTAACGGTATCACGAAAACAAAGACATCGGATATTCAAACATAGAGAATCTCACTTCATACCATGTTCACTTCCGCTCGTTCTCTTTGCGCGAATGATAACGCGTCTTGTCATCAAAGCTTCCTTGGCCCCCTTTAAGGCCCCTGAAGGAGTCGCACCACCGAAGCTGCGATAATGGCCAACGCAATAGCACGTAGACTTGTTGGGAGTTGAGCGCAGCCTTGTTTCGGAGTACTCTATAGTCATACCTGTATCGACAGACATATTTAACGTGGCTTGTCTACTCGCAGCCGATTTGGATCTGGTTGACAACATGCGTAGAACTTGTACCTGAAACGGCCGCAGTGTGCGCTTGCGAGCCACGTTCCTGCGGCATCGGGAGGCCAAACAGTCCAAGTGGCCAACCAGAAGCAAAGCATACAACCAAAAACTCGACCTGCAGGCTGCTACTACGCGCACGTACTATGCACCCAACCACTTGGGTTTGCGCAGTTGCTAAGCCGAAGTCTAGCTCGGGTCGGTGTTTCCCCCCCTCTCTCTTTTTTTCTTCTCTTTGGATGACAAACGTGCTGGCCGTTGGGGGCGGAAAGTGTAGGGAGGCTCAGGGGGGTAACGAGAGGAGGAATGGATACAGACGATGGTGATGGTGATGGTGGGTTGGCGACAGAGAGAGTACACACTTACACACGCCACCGGTTCTCCTTTTTCCTCGGACAGGCCGTTGGAGATACTGCACTATATCCCGTACTCGGCAAACAGGCGAGGTCCTGCTTCATTTGGCAGCGATTAGGGATGGATACATACCTAGGTACGCAGGAGTCACTCTTACGTCTGCGGGTTGTGCGTGTGTAGGCGGCGCAGCGAACCTGCTGTGGCACGTCAAAGAAGCCAGAGAGAAGCCAGAGACCTGAGAAAGCGATGGGGCTGTCCACCCCATAGAAGGGTCTTCTATGTAACCCTCCAAAGGTATAAGACCCCGGAGATGCCAGACAACAATCCCAGGTCGCCACGTGCACGCAGGATGCGATCCCGATGCTACTACATAGTATATGATATCTTGAGTCTGACGGCTGCTGCAGGGCTTTAGCCGAATGTGATGTCCTCGTCCGGCGGGGTGGTGTGCACTGAGCAGGACGGGACGGCGACAGGCTGTAAAGTGAACCTGGCAAGACCTACAAAGGCAGCAGACCATCAGGCAGGTAGGCTTAGCCACTAGTGTGCCCAGTCAGAGTCTAGGGCGTCCTGAAATAAATGTCTCCCCATACACACATATTCATTGATGATGGTGTTGAGGCTTGCATTGTTCTCAAAGAATGGCGCGGTATAGCCAGTCGGGCGAAATACCACCTGCAGTAGTTTATGGAGGACCCTCGAATACTGGTAGATGCTGGGCCTAGTATCTTCGCCTAACCTTGCCCTCTCCCCCTTTTCCCCCCTCCGTCGGATAGGTTATGTCTCATGTGCTGCACTGGTAACGTACCTCATTAGTCCTTAAGAGGAGGCCTGGTGTGATGCCATATTTTTAGCACAGCCCCCCAGAAATCCATCCCATTTCGGCCATCGATGCTTACTTGCATGCTCGCAACTGCAACACGGACAAGAGTTAAGTGCGAGCAGACGGCTTAAGTAAGCTTCTAAAGCTTAGGAAAATCTTGATTTGTCTCTAGAGTTCATGCCGTGACTGGCGATGGAGGCGACTCTCGCCTAGAAGTCGTCCCATATCACACATATGCTATGTCATGTGCTGCGCCGTACTGCCCGCCTCTAAATATAGGTATCTGTCGTCTTTATAGAATCTTTCCAGCTCGCCAGAGTCACTGTACGTCGGATCAGGTGGGCCTCACTTTAGAAGGCATGTATCGCCAATTGTCCCTAGAAACCGGTGGTCATCGTCGCCCGTCTGAAGTGGGATTAGAGATTGAAGCAGCGTGAACCTTAATGAAGATGCTCATTCCGGAAACAATGCGCCGAACCGCCTGCGGTCGCCAAGAAGCTGTGCCGCGGCGGTCATGGTCCTTTCTAGATCCTTTGCCCAAAGGCTGACGTCGTTCTTCGGGTTGATAACGAGAACCAATTGCCTTCTGTCCCCAATCTGTTCCTTGCATTGAAGGATTCCGCCTGGCTAACGAGATAGTGTGCGTGAATGTGGACTTGCCACAACAGAACATTACGCCTAAAGTGCTCGTCTGCTATTCATCGGATATAATCGCGTAAAGCACCGTGAGATAGGTAGGGTTGAGTGTGTCTATTTATTACTGCGATCCCCAATTGATAGTGGGTTGCAGCAGCTCCCACTATGTAACATGAGTATATATACTAACAAGGGCCGGTAGATCCATCGGCTTCGGCTAAACCTTGGTCTTCGTGGCTCAGTTGGTTAGAGCGTTGGTCTCATAAAGTCCATATGACTCGATCTTCCAAGGTCGGGACATCCAAAGGTCGTGAGTTCGAGTCTCACCGAGGACATTCCTTTTGGTCAACTGATCTTGATGCTCCCTTCTCGTTGCATGTCTATTTTTCCGTGTTGTTTTGACTATTTAATCTGGTCTGGAGTAATTGCTGTGTAGCAATGTGCGTCAATTTCACTTATTACTACTGTAGGGTGTTAATATGTTTTTGGCCTGATGTGGATCTACTGCGATTCATAGGCTGCAATCAGATATCCTTGGACCAATTTTGCATCCCAGGCAGGAATGCCTCCGTCGTCCATTCCGTCGCACAGAGTAAAGTAACAAGTTGACCGTCTTCTCGCAATTCACGTATACCTTAATTTATTACTTGTCGATTCTCAACGGGCTGTCCCCTTGAGGGTAAACAGCTGGCCCGCTGCTTTTCGTCCGACTTCTGGAGGTTCTAACACAACCCTCCACTTATTTCTATCTACGAATCGTATCGTCAGTCGCAGTCAACCTTAAAGGATTTTCACAACATATGCAATTGGCGCTGGTCCTATCGCCTCTGGACCTACTTCGGGGCCCTCGAAAGTGGCTTTGTTCTGATATCCAGCAATTGATGAGACATGGCTCTCACAAGCCGCATCGCTTTTGATGACCTTTCTACCACGGAAGAGGCCGAAGACTATTTGGGCTCCTCGCTTGGCGTCATCTTCCCTGATGATGTTATGAACCAGGTATACAAACATCTTTAGGCACCTCCTCCAGCGACGTGATTGAGAAGCGTTATATCCTCCCGATCTCTGACATGAGATATCTGTCTTCCACGAACCTTTGTTTCTCAAACCCCGCTCAAGTTGAGATGATAGTCTTATCTGCAAACGACTAACTGTGTGCCAGCATGGCGATGCCGACAGCTCTCTTGTATATACATCGCCGCATCTGCCAAATCCATTACATATTGTATTGGCGGATCCAAAGGCCGCCGATGATCGCGCGCTCTTTGGCCACCACCTCTGGAATTCCAGTCTGCTCCTCGCTGAGTTCGTAGAGGCTGGCACACTAGGATTGCCTTATTCAGTAGGTTCTGACATCAGAGTGAGAGGCGACGGTGATACACAACCATATGGCAGTATTGTCCGCGATTTCGATATCAAAGAACTATCATCGATTGAGCTCGGTGCTGGAACAGCGCTGCCCAGCATACTCGCCTCACTTCTCGATGCCAAGGCCGTGGTAGTGACAGACTACCCTTCACAAGTCCTCATGGACACCTTGCGCAAAAATGTCGAGACTAACTGCACCACTGGGTACTCCCCCGTGTCAACGTTGACCCGGCCTACAGTGGTCGGGCATGCCTGGGGCGAACTCGACACGGAATTTGCAGTTCAGCACAAGCACAGCTTTGATCGTGTTTTTGTGTGCGACTGTCTTTGGATGCCGTGGCAGCATCTGAACTTACAGAAGTCAATAGCACATTTCATGAAAGGTGACGAAAGTGCGAGAGCATGGGTCATCGGAGGTCTCCACACGGGACGATCCAAGATGCGTGGATTCTTCGAGCAGACAGCACTACAACAGCAAGGGCTCGAAGTCGAGAGGATATGGGAGCGAGACTGCGATGGGGTTGAGCGCCCCTGGAATGAAGACAGGGGCATCGAAGATGTCACAGAGAGAAAGAGGTGGTTGATCGTGGGCGTACTGAAGAGGAGCGCGGCGGCAAAAAGGTGAAGGGGCTGAGGGACCAAGGGATAAAGCAGATGGCAACCTACTGGAAGTCCTGAAGTAAATGTGTAACAGGAAGGTTTGGAGAACCCCGCAGTCACCAGGCACAGGCGGCTGGTTATTGTCACTGGTTTCAGTCGCTATATACCACTGGCAGACTCAAGCTACAAGTGAGATCCTCTTGGGAACACGATACGGGGGCTGCAAGTCTCCGGAACTTCGACATTCAAGGTGGTGTCAGATCGCAGAAGCTCTTGGCTTCGGAACATATGACATGGCACTGGTCACGGACTTCTTTTTAGTCACAGCAGAGCAAGTATCATTTTTGAATCATGAACACGAACGCAGTTCAACATATTTGTCCGCTATCCCACGAATTTTACGTGAATGAGACAGTTCGGTCACATTCAGAAGGAGCCTGGCAATGGCCATTCGCAAACATGCATGCCTTCAAAGCACTGCAGTCTACCTCGGCCAATTGCCTTTACCACATCCACGTGTATCTCTTCCCTCCGTGGGAACAAAAATCAATGCTATTGGCGATTGTTAGAGGCCTGCCATGTAAGGGGCGCCAGCTCACACAAATACCAAGTAACACATTCACATCTGAATCACGCCTCGAGTAATCCATAATGGAATGACGTGCGGGCCAAGCATGCACTACCTGCCCGTCCAATGTATTTCAATACCTACCTTACCTACGTGATGTAGCGAGAGTGCAGAAATGACCAGGTAGGTACGACTTGAGACTATTCTGCAAGAGCCACATCGAGGAGAGGAGGCATACGAGATAAAGAGGAGTTTAATCCCTCATATACTTACTGAACCTGGCCATTCCAGGTCTGACGAATCAAGACTTACAGATTTTAAAGGGACCCTGGACAATCGTGTGAGGTACACATTAGATTGCTCACAGCACAACAGAATCGGGGCTGCATTTATCCGGCAGCTTAGGTAAGTTGTCTGCAGGGCTGTCTTACTTCCTAGCTGAGTTGACCCGCTACCTACAGTAACTGCCCGCGAAAGTCAGTGAGGCTAGGAGACAGAGGAAGGTCCACCTACAGCCAATCAAAATCGTGACATTGCTGCCAATCGCGTCATGGCCGACAACCCGAGGTGTTGCAAGCAATAGGTGGCATCTCCTACCAGCGAATGGAAGCTCCAGCGTGTGCTTCCAACCTCTAACGGCCTGCACTACAGCTGTCTACGCAAGAAGCTACTGCCAACAACCAACACAACAAGCATTGCGTCTGTCCTCTGCGCAATCAATACAATTCTTTTGTACCCAATCTCCATAATGGACACCTAGCTGGATTCCTGCAGCTTCAATCATCATACTTGCCTTCTGCCCAGTCCACACCAACATGCGGCTCCTTTGGTATGCTGGGGTAAGCTGCTTCGTGCCTTTTCTGTCGCATATAGCTTCAAGCCGGAAACTGACATGTCCCTAATAGACCTCGACGGCCCTGGCGACCAGTGTCGTCGCCTATGCCTTCAACCAGCGCGCCAACTTCTACTCCGCCATGGTCTATCTATCACAGAACAATCTTAGTCTCATGGTGCGCTTCACACTGCATTCTAGTCGCACGTGCCCCGTTTGCTAAGCATCAAGTGCCAACAGATCCTGATCAACCTCGTCCTCCTCATCTATTCCTCCTTCGTCTGGGGGCTACAGAGACTATGTTACGGTCCGCTTCGACCTGTCGAGATCGAGCAGCTCTACGAAAAAGCCTGGTTCGCCGTTACCGAGACATGCTTAGCTATGACCATTTTCCGCGAAGAGGTCGGCGCCTGGTTCTTGGTCATGTTTACATCCCTTGTTACCGGCAAAGTTTGGGGTTGGATAGGTGAAGGTCGAGTAGAAGTCCTGGAGCAACAGCCTCCCGCGAACCCCCGGCTGTTCCACGCCAGGCTTAGTGTCTCCCTGATCCTCAGCGTCGCCTACGACCTCTGGCTCCTAGTTTACGCCGTCAACTCCGTTATCCAACAAGCCCGTCCCAACATGATGGTTATGTTCTTGTTCGAGTTCGCTATATTAGCTACCTGCTCGACACGCACCGCTCTCCGCTACGTCGTGTCCTTGGTCGAAGCGAATATATTAAAGAAGCAGACCCATTTCAGGTTGGAGGAGCGACAGAGGCAGGTTCGCGAACAGCGTGCCGATATAATGCGACGTCGTGAGTCCGAGGACCCCACCGAGAGGGAGGCTGCTGAGCAAGAGGAGCTACCCGACGAAGAGATCGATGAGATGGATATCGAGGTTCCGGGCTGGGAGTCTAAGGGACACTGGATCCTCAGCTTGGATCTGATGACCGGTAAGCGACCGAGGTACACGCTCGCTGTGAGCTTCAATGCTGACTTGCTATAGACTTTATTAAGCTTGGTATCTATTCTGCATTCTTTGCTATTCTCATGATGTTTTACGGGTTGCCCATCCATATCATGCGCGATCTCTTCATGACTGCCCGGTCATTCGTCAAACGCCTCGGCGCTCTCATGCGGTATCGCAAGGTTCTGCAAGACATGAACAAATATCCTGATGCCACTGCGGAAGATCTAGGCCGCGAAGATACTTGCATCATATGCAGAGAAGAGATGAGACCGTGGGATCCGACTGCTAATGGTGCGGTTGAGCGTTCCCGCCCCAAGAAGCTTCCTTGTGGTCATATTTTACATTTCGGCTGCCTCAAGGGCTGGTTGGAGAGACAGCAGGTGTGTCCCACATGCCGACGCTCAGTTGTCATTGACGGTGCCATCCCGAATGGCGACGCTGCTGCTCCCGGCGCAGACGCCAATGGACAACCCCAGGCCCCCGGCCAGCCACATCATGGCAACGGAGGCGCAAATGCGCCTCCCCCGGTCCAAGGGCACGGTAACATGCGCGTCTTCCAGTTTGGACCACTTCGCCTCGGATTTGCCCAAGGAAACGCACAAAACATCCATGAGATGGCCGAGCGCCTTCGCAATCCCGATTTCGCCAATAACCCTCCCGCAAATCATATCAATCCGGCTCCTGGCCCTGCCCCCGCTCCTGCCCCATCCCAAGTTCATGCCCCCGAATTGGAAGGCGTCGTCGGGCTTCAACATATGCAGAACCAAATCCACAGTCTATCTCAACGAGTACAGCAGGAAATGGATACCTTGCAGGCCAGCCAAGCTGAGTTGCAGATACTGTATGCTTTGACGACAGAGCTCAACCGCATCCGTCAGATGCAACAGCAAGCCTCGAATGGCCCCATGAACGCACCCGCTCTTTCACTCCCCCAACACGCAATGCCAGGGATGACTGCTCAAGTCAATGGATCCTATCCACCAGGTTTTCCCATGCCACATATTCCGCAGATGCCA